TATATATATATATAAATTAATTCCCCCTTTCTGTACCACTTTGGACAGGTACTTGTCAACCTCTTCCAATAACTTTAGCTCTTTATTTCCGGGGGAAAAAAAAAATGACTGATCCCAAAAACGTTTCACTTTAGTAAGCTATTTTGTTCAGCAGAACAGATTTCTTGGGGCTGAGGAGATACTCAGTGTATAAGAGCAATTGTTCTGCAACAGGAAGTCCTGAGTTCAGATCCCTGGCGCCCATGTAAAAAGCTGGGCATGACTACACGTGCCCGAAACACCAGCATAGATGGGTGGAAACACGCAGATCCAGAAACTTGCTGGCCAGCCAGGCAGCCTAGTTGAAATGCCAAACTTCTTGTCTGTGAGACTGTCTCAAGGCAATAATGCTAAAAGCTATAGAGGAAGATACTCAAAGTCCTGCCCTGGTCTCCACATGTGCACACATGGGCACATGCACCTGCATGTGTACACACACACACACACACAAAGAGAAGATTCCTTGTAAGTATGAATTGAGGGTAACAGGAAGGTTTCAGAAGAGTCCAGAAATACTTCAAGGTACTCTTTTCGTATTTTGGCAATTTTTGTGCTGGAAAATGACCTACTAACCAAAGGGCCATTCTGACAACCACTTAAATTATTCACTATTGTTTGGCCAACATCAAACTAGTTTCCTACGTCAAACATCAGAATGTGTTTTGCTTTAATACAGAAATCAAGGCAACAGGAATTAGCTAGTTCCAGAAGACTTGCTCCAAGCACAGAAATGGCCTGGTAGCACAGTCCTAAAGAATGTGTCCATAAAGGTGTTCTGTGTTCCCCTGAGGCCTGGTCTCACTTCTAAGAAAGGAAATCAGGCCTCTATCTCTGCACCTTGTATACTCGACCCACACACCTGTCCTTACCTCTTAATCAGTGGGATCTTGGCACTCCAATTGTTGAAGGACCCAGAGATGAAGACCTCCTTGCCTCCTTCAGACCAGCGGATGACAGTGGGCCGGGCCTGCTGAGTGGGCTTTACAGAGTCATCCAAATCCTGCTGCCAGGATACAAACTCTTTATCCCCAGGGAGCTGTAAGAAGGAGTAGGTCATCCCTAGAATAAATTATGACCCAAGGATTTTTAAGAAGTCAGCTTTTACTGGGATAGTAGGGGTTCTAGGCGTCAACTAAAGATAACATACCTTAAATTCAGCCACTAAATCAGATTTTGAACAAACAATAGAAAAAGAACTAATGTAGGACCAACAATGGTCAAATAGCTTATGTTCAGGATGACTAAATCATGGCCTATCTTCTTACTCACCTTGCAGAGCCTTAGGATCACCCTTCAGAAAAATCCTCTTTAGTACCAGTTTAACTCATATGCAGTCAATTAGGATATGTTTCTGAATAACTCTTATGAGAAAAAAAAATGTATGAAAGTATGGCTCTTTAAAAATAATTAAGTTGCCAGGCGTGGTAGCAAACGCCTTTAATCCCAGCACTCGGGAGGCTGAGGCAGGTGGATCTTCATGAGTTCAAGGCCAGCCTGGTCTACATAGTGAGTTCCAGGACAGCTGGGGCTACAGGGTAGACCCTGTCTCAAAAAGACCAAAAAAAAAAAAAAAAATTAAGTCATGTATATATTTTTCATAGACAACCTGTTCTTAACTGTCAGTTGCAATTAAAGTCATAGGTACCAAAATTCCTAAGTAATTAAGAACTCTATTATAGCTAATAGGTTACAAAAAGAGACATTAAAAGTTTAAGGATTATGGGGCTAGAGAGATGCTTCAACCCTTAAGAGCACTGATTGCTTTTGCAGAGGACCTGAGTTCAATTCCCAGCACCCACATGGCGGCTATGACCCATCCCTAATTCCAGTTCCAGGGGAATCCCGAAGCTCTCTTCTGACCTCTGCAGCATTGCACTACACGATGCACTCATATACATGCAGGCAATATACTCGTACACATAAAAAATAATAAACTTTTTAAAAAAAATTTAAGGATTGGAGATGTAGCTTGGTGCAAAGCACTTTCCCAGTGAGCATGAAGCTTTGAGTTCCATTCCCAGTACCATCCACCCATCCAAAGTGTAAAAACAGATCACTGATTCAGTACAGTGAAGTGGTTATGCAATCTTAACTACCAGCTTTATAATTACTTCAGAGGGTGTACAAAAATGTTGGTGCCTCAAAGACCAAAGGATCAAAAACATAAATTCCTCTAAGCAAAAGCACTTCTATTGTCAAATGAGGTTTATAGGCTTCTGAGAAAAATTAGTGCCTTAATTTCTTTTCACTACCATCCTTTGTGACAGGCAAGGAGAAACTGCAGCCAGTGAACCAGATGGCTTTTACAAAGCTTTTGATGGAAAACATCTCCACTCATTTGTTATCTACAGCTGCTTCCTGCCACAGTGTCAGAGCTGGGTACTTAAGAGACTATAGGACCCACAAAGTCTAAATTATTTACTATCTGGCCTTTTACTGAAAAGGTTTGCTCACCCCTACTTTCAACTTAAGTGGTAGTAAATAAGACTGTACAGTAGCAAGTCAAAATATTAAAAAACAAAATAATGTGGGTTAGAATGAAAAAAAGGCCAACCTATTCATTTGGGCTTTTTGCAAAATGAAAGTTTACCTTCCATTGCTCTCAGTGTCTTTTAAAGCTACATCAGGAGAAACCAAAGTAAATGGAGAAAGAAAACAGACTTTGATGTTATTCAGGGAACTGGCTGAAGACAAAACCTTGGTCTCCATATCCTCAAAGCAAAGCCCTCTGACTAGGGCATAGAATAACAAGAATTTTTACATAAGCCTAAGAATAACTCTCAGATTCTGATCCCCAAATGGGATCTAGGAATACATATTTTTAAAACCTTTCCTGGGAACAATACTGTTACTGTATTATAATAAAACAAAAAGGAAAAAAATTTCTTTTAAAAAGTTCCCAGTCTGTAATCCAGGCTAGCCTGGAACTCACTGCAGCTCAGGCTGGCAGTGATCCTCCTCCTACCTCAACCTCTCGACAGTTGGGATTAGAGGTATGAGCCACCATCATATCCAGCTTTAAAAATCATCCTTTGAGGTACAACCTACAATGTGACAGATGCTATTTGCAAAGCTGTTTGGAAATTGTCTCAAAACACTTGATGGGAGGAGTGGCATGGGGCACAGACTGATCACTGTTGAAATTGAGTGACGAGTATAGTTTGTTATACTATTCTATTTTATAAATGTTTCAAATTTTCCATAGAGTATTTAAACAAATCTTGGTGATCATAATGTAATGGAGGAAGTCTACTGAGAAAGGCATTCAAGCAAAGTAGGCCCACTGCTACTGACTCTGTCAATTACTTTTATGTCTGAGGATGTTCAGTTTAGAATTTGAAAGCTACAAACTATTAATATGCCTGCCTAGCTTTGGAGCAAAGCCATTTCACTGATGACAGGATATTTCTGTGGTAGGAATGAACACAGCTGACTAGCAGAAAGATTGATTACTCCAAGTTAAACAGTCAGCAAAACCAGCAGGAAAGGAAGCAAAATGACCAATCAAATCACAGTTGGAAGATGTTTAAGTAAAACTGGGTCGGGGGAGAGGAGGGTAGATGGGAAACTCTAAAGCCTTTGATTTGAATGAGCACCAGGAAATCAATCACTGAACAAATTTCTCACTTCACAAATGGCAAGAGGGGGGGTGGGGGTGGGGTTGATAGGCCCAAATTCACACAGAGCAACCTGGCTCTTATTCAGGACACCAATTACTGCAGTCACAGTTTGACTAGTCAAATCCTGAGTCATCAATGTAGGAATAAGGCAGAAATACAAGGCCTAACACCGGGGAAAGCTCTGAAGTTCTATGACACCAGGGTGAATGGAGGGTCCATAGGATGAGGAAGAAGTCCTGAAGTGGGAGAGGAAAGATGGAATTGTGAAGGGACCCCAAGACATGCCCCTACCAACCACTTCTCTCACTTCCCTCTGTGATGATGTTCTCAATCGGAATCTAGGAAAATAAGCCATATAATCCAAATTTCAAGTGCTGTGGAGTGGTAAATAAAACTGTCTAAAGCCTCAGTTAATTGGAAAGTGATGAAATGATAAATGTGAAATACATTCCAATCTTTTCCATCCCTCCAGTTTTTATATTTCACTGCTGACAGTCTACCTGGAGGAATTTAATGTATTTAATGCTGACATTTCTAGAAGTGATTAGAAACATCTTGATGGGAGCCACTGGTTATCAGCTCCATCTGCCTTTTCTTTAGGGAGAACACAAGTTGCCTCAGGCTGAAAGTCCCTGGAATTGGGGGCAAGGTCTTCAGGGCCACTGTGTGTTGTCCTTTTGAGCCCTAGGCAATATTTTGAAGCACCAAAGGGGAGAGCAAGGAGGAAGGAGGGGAACCTCTGGTTCTCATGCTTGAGGCCCAGCTGGGTGTGAAAGCACCATCCCCACAGCCAACACAACCATCCATCAAGGACAGAACAAACACTGTGCAGTCAACCAAATCATGTCCTGTACTGATTCCTAAGACTTGGAGAAAGTATTCAAATAAACAAGTGGTGGTGCTCTGAGCCATGTTAAAGGAGAAGAGATCATGCGTGCAGAACTCGCAAAAGAGCAAAAATGATACCTAGGCAAAGAAGTTTTCGGGGGAAAAGAAATTCATTATTTAGTCATCTCCAAGCAGATGTGAGAAACTGACCCCCCATCAGCAGCTCCGAAGTTTTCTACTTGTGCTCACCACCTATAAAGGCTGCTGCACTCTACAAGAGGGCAGCCTTCAGGTAGAACCAATGATTCGGTGGGCAGGGGACGTGCCTCGGGTACCGGTCCCACAAACGTGGCCCACAGACTGGTCAGAGCAGCAGGAAAACGAGAGCTCGGCGCCTCCATCCTAATTTGAGGCAGTACCCCAAGAGGAATCACCACCCGACACACCTCTGTCCGCGGAAAAGTCCTTTACATTAAACGCGCAACCCTGGAGTGATGACGAGCCGAAGACCGAGCAGGGGAGCCCGCCGCAGCACCCCTCACCTTGGGATCTCCCCTCACGCAGGGGACCTCACCTTGGAGTCCGGCAAGCTGAAGACGCTGGGGTCGTCGGTGCTCCCCACCATGATCTTGTGCTCCTTGCCCGGGCCATGGCCACCGGCGCCCTCCGCGCGCGAAGCCTTGGCGCCGTGGCGCTCCCCGGACACACGCTCGCTGGTGGTGTTTCCCATGGCGGCAGCTCCAGTCGGGGGCCACCTGCCGCGGGGAACAACGCTGGGAGGGGAACACCCCGGCCGCCGCGTCAGGGGGTGCTCCGGCCCCGCCCCTGCGCCCGGGGACCTGGGAAGGGAATCCCCGCTGCAGGAAGCCGCGCCCGGGGTCCCCTCCCTCGCCTGTGGCAAGGACGCCCCCGCTCCGGGACCCCGCTCCTGGCGGACCCCACCCCGGGGGTCCCTACAGCTCCGCAGCCCCGGCCCCGCACGTCCGCAAGCGGCTCACCTCCGACGATGCGCTCCAGGCTACAGGCGCGCTGGCTGTTCAGCAAACAAGGGGACCAATAAAGTTGTTGAAATTGAAGCCGCGCCCAGAGCCGGAGACCCGCGTTTCCTCCTAAAATGGCTACAAAGCCGGAGGCGCTGCCCCGCCCCGCCAGGGCTCCGCCCCCGCGCGTCTGGCCCCGCCCCCGCCTCGCGGCCCTACCCCCTGCTCCCGGGTCTCCCCGCAGGCCCCTCCACCCACCCCGGCGGTCTGCGGCTGTATCCGCTGAGTAGGCGGCCGCCTCGGTGGTGGGTGCATCGCCGGCTCTGAGTCCCCGCCACCTGCGTCCAGCCTCGGGGCGCCCTTACGTTTTCGGAGCCACGTTTTTAGAAGCCCACCGGGGAGATGGGTTCCTAGAGGGACTAAGGAGACGGACTTCCTATTCAGTCGGAAGTTAAAGGTCAAAACATGGGGACAACGGAGGAAGGAGCTAGCCCCATCCCAATGGGGTCGAAGGAAAGAAGGCAAGATGGAGTGGTTAGAACCTTGACAGTTGATGAAATGTTAGTCTCAGGAGAGTACGCTTCTAGGCTAAGAAACAGCATATGCAATGAGTTAGCTCCAGAAGCAGAAAGAAACCGAGCAACGACAGAAACGTCGCAAAGGTTACTAAAGTACGAAAAGGACAGGCAGCTCCAAGGATGGAAAGGATCCAGGATTTTATAACTAAGGGAAGGAATTTCTAAGCTCTTTACAGAGTATTACTTTGTATTACCTTGCTAGCATATGTCTTTCCCAGCTAAAAACCTTTGTCATAGCGGGTGTTACCCCACAGAGGGACCTGGGGGGCGGGGCGTAATAGAAATGCAGAATCCTAGGCCTCAGCTCCTAGGTACAGAGTTAGAACCAGTGTTTTAACAAGATCACCTCAAACGAGCTGCAGTGTTTGCTTGACAGCAGGTACAGAAAGGATCCAGATCCCAATCTTCATGGTCTGTACACACGTTGTATAGAGCATGCTTTTAATAAGTGCTTTTAGGGTTTGTCTCTTGTTTATCTCCTAACAAGATGTGACTGGGAATGCCCAGGCCCTGAGTGAGCTGCTGTTTGTTGAAAAGTTTCATTTTCTATTATGAAGTTGAGAATTTACTTATGTTCAACATCCACTGAACCCTCATTTGCTCCTTATACACTCATTCTCGGACTCTTAACCAGTTTATAGAAATACACACACACATATAAATTTTACCACAACCTCTTGCTCGCCCCTCCAAATTCTTTGTGGTTGTGCCCGCCTTTTTCATCCCTTCTCCCAATTCCTTCATCCTTCTCTTGGATGCTACAACTCTGACTGCTTCTGTTTTCTTAGAGAAAGAAAAGTGAGGTGAGGGGAAGGGATAGAGTATTTGAGGTTCCAGAAAATTAGGAGGTGGGACATAATCAACTAGAAGAGTGAGTTAGAGAAATGTGACTGGCAGGCACTGCAGATGGCCTCGAGTAATGTGTGGTGTTGATGAGTTTAAGACAGGCCCAACTGTTATACTGGTATTTTCCTGTCACCGTGGTTAGCTGTGGGTAGAGGCATATACTAAAGGTGAAGTATAGCCAAGCAAAGAAGGAACAAAGTGCGTGGTAGGCTGGAGCATAGTATTAGAGCAGAGATCTGAAACCAGCAGGCTGGGCAGTGAAGGCAAAGCAGGCTGATAGAGAGTCCAGGGAGTCACAGACCGTGGCAAGCACAGCGTGGTGGAGTGAAAGACCTGAGAAGGTGAGAGATAGTTTTGGAGAGCAGGATCCTTAACCCTGAGATTTCAGTGGTCTCACAGTTATGAGCAGTGACAGTCTCTCAGACATGCTCATGGATGTAGATCAGTGAGATGAAGTAGCTCATAGAGCCACCAGAGAAAGAAAGTTGTAGAACTGAAAGCTGAGATGCCAGAGTTTGATATCAGCATTCATCCTCCTTAATAGCCGAGCAATGATTTTAACCTTTGTGTGCTGTCTTTCTCCACAAGGATGCATTTCTTAGCCTCCCCTTAGGTAGATGGTTGGGCCTGAGTTCTTGCTGTGAGATCTAAGTGGAAATGTTATTTAGAAGTTCTGTTAAATCTTCTTACATTTCTCCTTCCTTGTGTCTAGGATCTTGATAGAATGGCTAGAGCTCCAGCAGCCATCTTGGACCATGAAGTGGCTGAGGACAGTTGGAATATGTACTGGATAGCTTTTGTGTCAACTTGACACACCTGGGGTGAGGGAGCCTCAGTTGGAGAATTGCCTTCATTGGACTGACCTGTAGCTATGTACATGGGGCACCTGCTTGATGAGTGATGTGGAGGGCCCAGCCCACTGTGGGTGGTGCCACCCCTGGGCAGGTGGGCCTGTATTGCATAAGAAAGCAGGCTAAGCAGGGGCCAAGTGAGCAAGCCTGTAAGCAGGTAAGCAGTGTTTCTCCATGGCCTGTGCTCTACCTCCTGCCTCCTGGTTTCTGCCCTGAGTTCCTACCTTGGGCTCCCTGGATGAACTGTGACACGGGATATGTAAGCTAAATAAACCCTTTCATCCCCACGTTGTATTGGTCAGAATATTTTGTCACAGCAATGGAGAAACAAACTAGGACAGTGTAGAAAATGGAAGTGTGTAACTATTATATTATCTTGGGACTGTCTGCCTCTCGGAGTGTTTTTTTTATATAAGAGGGAAATAAACTTCAATCTTGCAAGCCACTGTGGCCTGTAACTTTTCTATTAAATGTAGCTGGACCTACTTATATTTAAGGCATTGGATTGGTGAAAGTGTTAACTACATGAAATTAAAATCATCTTCAGGAACAGTTACGCCTACAGACAGTGAACTGAGTGCTAAAATCTTCACTGAATGAAGGGCAGTAAACAGGTCTGTAAAGAACTACAACCAGGAGAGGTAGTAGGTGCTTTGAAGGAGCTTGGGAACTGGAGAAAGAAAACCAAATAGCAACAGAAATCTGTGCATAATGCAGATCCAAGAAAAGAATAAAAACAAATAGCTTCACCTTCTGGTGTATTTAATATTTCTTTTAAGTAAGTGTGTGTGTGTGTGTGTGTGTATACATGAGTGTGGGTACCCATAGAGATCAGAGGTGTCAGAGCCCCCTGGAGCTGGAGTTACAGGTGGTTGTGAGCCACCTGATATTGATCCTGGGAACTGAACTCAAGACCTCTGCAAGAGCAATGCCCAGTATTAATCGCTGAATCATCTCTTCAGCCCCCACTTTCTGTTTTAAGATCTTGGCTATTTATTCATTTATTCATTTTATTTATTTATTTATTTAATATGCATGAGTGTTTTGCCTGCATGCTTATGTGACCATACAATGCCCATGGAGGCCAGAAGACGGCACCAGATTCCCTGGAACTGAACTTACAGACTGTTGTTAGCCCTCATGTTGGCGCTGGAAACCAAACCCTGGTCCTCCACAAGAGCAGTGAGTGCTCTTAACCACTGAAGCCATCTCTCTAGCCCCCAACAGCTTGAATTTTTAAGAACTATTTGATTAAGGGAATAAGTTATGCAGACACTTGTTACAACAGCACATTAGAGCTACACTGACTCAGATCAGTGATCTATTCCAGAGTGTTTTCTGCAAAAACGTGTTTGCCCCAAAGCCATTTCTAAACGTCAAGCAGCCTTTAATCTTCTTAATCTCTTTTTATAGAAGTGCTATTCACTATTTAATTTAAAAACTAATCTTTGTCACCTCCCATGTTAAATGTGTTCTTTAAATTAATTAATGATCAGTTTATGAGGCCTTACTATGCTCCAGGGACTACATTAGGCACTAGAACACAGATTAATTACAAAGCATCTGCCTCCCAAGAGTTTACTAGTTCAAAGAGGTGAGAGGTGAGAGAATCACTGTATTTATTTATTTATTATTTCTTTATATTTTTTTTATGTCTTTGTGAGACAGGGTCTACCTGTAGCCTCAGCTGGCCTGAAACTTTCTATGTAGACCAGGCTGGCCTTGAACTCACAGAGATCCACTTGCTGTGCCCCCAGAGTGCTGGGATTAAAGGAGCATGCCACCATGCCCAGCTCTTAAGAATAACTGTTATGAAGTATGATAGGGATTTCAATCACATGTAACTGAGGAATTGAGCACATTGTGTAGCAAAAAGATCACCTACTTCTCATTGGGGATCAGAAAGCTCTTCCTAGAAGGGGCAACAGATGAGCTAATTTTTTTTTTTTAATTGTGTGTGTGTGTGTGTGTGTGTGTGTGTGTGTGTGTGCATGTGTGTGCGTGGGTGCTCAGAAGCTAGACACATCAGCTTCCTCCAGGAGTAACTTGAAGAAGTCTTGACACTTTGGTTTACCACTTTCCTACCATAGTCGATACTTAGCCATCAAAGGAAGCAAAACTGTTGTAAGTTATATCACGTTTTATTGGAGCAACTTAATCTGAGTGCAATCCAGGAAACAAAATTTAAGTAAATAACTATTCCTCTGAGAAGTTTTTAGTATACTGTAGCCCAGGTCAAACACTGAACTAAAAAAAAAAAAAGTTGGAAGAAAATAGTTTCAGTTTTAGAATAGTTTTTAAAAAATATTTTTACTTTATCTGTATGTGTGTATTGCCTGCATGTATGTAAGTGCACCCATGTCGTGCAGTGTTGGCAGAGGACAGAAGTTGTTGGATCCCCTGAAACTGGAGTTATGGACAGTTGTTAGCTGCCATGTGGGTGCTGGGATTTGAACCTGGGTCTTCTGCAAGAACAGCCAGTACTCTTAACCACTGAGCCATCTCTCCAGCCCCTAGTATAGTTTTAAATTGAAGAAATATTGCAAATAGCACAGAATTTCTCTCTGATCCAGACCTAGCTCCCCTCATGACGGCATGTCGTGGTACAGTTCTCAATCTAACACCAGTATTGGTCTCTCATTATTAGCCAAAATACATACTTTATTGATAGTATGTATTTATTGATAGTCTTTCAATTTTTACTTAATATCCTTTCTTCATTCCATGATAGCACC